TAAGATAACAGTATTTTAATAATCCACACAAAATGGGCATATTTAAATTAAAAAATGTTATATTTCTACATATAATCTTAAATGTGAAGTACAAATATTTCCTCTTGTAATTCTGATTCTAAACTATTTGTAAGATTGATAAACTTATTCCCAATCCTTGGCTTAAACTTTTCATCTTCTAATAATCTCCTATCATGGTTGATTAAAGAGAACTTTTAAAATAATATTTTTCTTCTCATGTTTGCAGCTGTAACATCTATTTCTCAATTTATCTTCATGTTCTTCAGTTGTATCATATAGAGAATAATTTGATAGTCACTTGTATCATTTTTAATACTATCATCTTAACATTCTTCTTGTTCAGAAAGTGTTTGAACCAGAGGAAGTATTGTTATGGCAATGGCTGCTTTATAATACAACAGTATTGTCTTTGCTGCACTCTCGTAGACAGGATCTTTTGATTTATTTTATACTTTTTTTTTTTTTTGAGACCTAATCTCTCTCTGTTGCTTGGAATAGAGTGCAGTTGTGTCATCATAGCTCACTGCAACTTCAAACTCCTGTGCTCAAGCCATCCTCCTGCCTCAGCCTCTTGAGTAGCTGGGACCACAGGTGGGCACCACCACACTTTTCTAGCTTTTTTGTATTTTTTTGTAGAGATGGGGTCTTGCTATATTGCCCAGACTGGTCTCAAACTTCTAGCCTCAAGCAATCCTCGTGCCTTGGCCTCCCAAAGTGTTAGGATTACAGGCATGAGTCATCATGCTGGGCCTGGTCTTTATATTTTATAGACTAATTATGTGTGCTTTTGCATTAATTAACCAAATAATTGATTTAAATATTTTTAATTGTAAGTACTTTGGAACCAAAAACAGCATGGTATACCAGAATCCTGGAATATCTCTAAACCCTTATTTAACAGATAATATTTTTGAAAAGCATAGCCTAGTATTCAATTAATTTAATTTTCTTTAAATCAGAAATATAGACAACTTCAAGCTGTATCATATATATTCAGAGAGTTACATAAATATCTACACACACAGACACATGAACACAAATTCCTACTATCATAAAAATGATTTAACATACTAATGGCAAAACATCTTCAGAGTTCTTAAAGATAATTCGGGGCGGCGAGCCGCATGGAGGCCGGCTGAGGAGCGCTGCAGCGTCGCCTGGGGTTCCGCCTTCCGCCGGGAGCTGCCGCCCCAGCCATGGAGGGGGAGGAGCAGCCACCGCAGGAGGCCGACGCGGAGCCTGTGGTGACGGCAGGGGCTTCGGAGCCAGTGCCCAGGGTGCTCCCTGGAGAAGCTCAGAACCCGTCCGATGTGGACGCCTTCAACCTGCTCCTGGAAATGAAGCTGAAGCGGCGGCGTGAGCGGCCCAACCTGCCGCACACCGTGACCCAGCTGGTGGCCCAGGACGGGAGCAGGGTGTCTGTGGTGGGCACGGCCCACTTCAGTGACGACAGCAAGAGCGACGTCGTGCAGACCATCCGCGGGGTGCAGCCCGACGTGGCGGTGGTGGAGCTCTGCCAGTACCGCGTGTCCATGCTGAAGATGGACGAGAGCACGTGGCTGCGCGAGGCCAAGATCAGCCTGGAGAAGCTGCAGCAGGCCGTGAGGCAGAACGGGCTCATGTCGGGACTCATGCAGATGCTGTGCTGAAGGTGTCGGCGCACATCACCGAGCAGCTGGGCATGGCCCCCGGCGGCGGGGAGTTCAGGGAGGCCTTTAAGGAGGCCAGCAGGGTGCCTTTCTGCAAGTTCCACCTGGGCGAACGGCCCATCCCCCTCACCTTCAAGAGAGCCATCGCCACGCTCTCCTTCTGGCAGAAGGTCAAGCTGGCCTGGGGCCTGTGCTTCCTGTCAGACCCAATCAGCAAGGACGACGTGGAGCGCTGCAAGCAGAAGGACCTGCTGGAGCAGATGATGGCCGAGATGATTGGCGAGTTCCCCGACCTGCACCGCACCGTCGTCTCGGAGCGAGACGTCTACCTGACCTACATGCTGCGCCAGGCCGCCCAGCGCCTCGAGCTGCGTCGCTCCTCTGACGCCGAGCTCAGGAAGCGCGTCCCCGCCGTGGTTGTGGGAGTCGTGGGCATGGGCCACGTGCCCGGCATTGAGAAGAACTGGAGCACCGACCTCAACATCCAGGAGATCATGACCGTCCCGCCGCCGTCCATCTCCTGCAGAGTGTCCCCGCTGGCTGTAAAGTCCACCTTCTTCGGCCTGCTGGGCTACGGCCTGTACTGGAAGGGCCGCCGCACTGTGAGCCTGGTGCTGTCGCTGCCGGCCCTGCCTCTAGAGGGCGGCCGCGGCCCGACCACACAAATAGGAAGCAACGCCCAGGGAGCGACCACAGCCGGGGTGGTGGCTGCTCACGTGGTTGCTGAGGGGCTCCTGAGGAGCCTGCACCACCTGCGGAAGCACCCTGAGCGCCGAGCCCACCCGAGGCCCTTCCACCTCCCGTGGGGGTCCAGGCCAAGCCGTCCCTGCACCCCCGTCCACACCACCCAGATAAAGGATTATTTAACTGTCTGAGCATAGGCTTCCCGGCAGCCCCCTCCTCACTTCCCCACGCATGCTGCAGGGGCCCCACTCCCAGGGGCCAGGGCCGGGGCAGGGCTGAGACACACGGCACCCCTCGGCACCCCAGGCGGCGGGGTGTAGCCAGCCAGCCACTGTCCCCTACCTCACTGTGCCTTCTTGTGCCCTGGCCCAGGAACGTCTCACGGGGGGTTCCGGGTCCAGGCGGGTTTGGGAAGGGCTGGGTGCCCCAGGCAGCTCCTTAGCATGCCCGCGGGAGCTCTGGTGGACCCGGCTGCGCCCTGCTTCCTGGGCTCGGCCGGCTGCCTCCCTGGCTCCGTCTCTGCCTGCAGAGGTTCTGTGTTTTTGGCTTTTTTAAATGTCTGAAAATCTTTACTCAGGTAATTTTAACTTTAAAGAAAAAACAAACTGAAGCAAGCGTCAGGAAATACAAGCCTTAAATCTGATTGGGACAAAAAGGAATTCTCCCTTTTTGGGTCTCTGTCCTGAGAAGGTCAGCCTCGGGGTCCAGTTGGCACCTCAGGTGTGAGCTGCTGTCCTGGCTGGAACCTGCTTCCTCTGCCTCCGATGGGGGTGCGCAGGGGCCGCGTGACCCTCACTGGACAGATGGCTTGTGGGGCCGCAGCCTCGGGCCGTGGGTGAGCTGCCCTGTCCCGGCCAGCGTCCGTGCGTGGGGCCCGGCCCTCTGTCTCTTCAGGACTCACCAGGTGTGCAGCCCCAGCCTGGGCCCGGGCGCCCTCTGGGTATCGCTGTGTTGACTCAAATCAGGTGGAACCCACAGCTGTGAGCCCGGGGGGGGCAAGGGCAACCAACCCTGGGGAATCAATCACTAAAAAAAAAAAAAAAATCCAAATTTGGGGAAAAAAAAAAGTTTTCAAAAAGTAATTAGTGAAGAATAGATTTTAAGCAGTTACAAATAACGATTAAATAGTATTCAGTTATGGAGATTTAAATTTGCTACTTTGACGTGATATTTTATGATCATAAAGCTATAATCCACAGAAAGTTATCCTTTATGGAATATGATACTTCTGTGCACCTATCTCAAGATTCTTATGAGTAAAAAAAAAAAACAAATCCATTCTCTTCACTCAAGCAGACCTATAAAAAGAGCTCATAAAGATGGGGATTCTAATTTGGAGATGGTAAATGTGTTACTTTATTAGTCTTCTCTTGATGTGTAACAAAATGCTACACATTTAGCAGCTTAAAAAAACACACACACGTTTATTATCTCACAGTTTTGTAGGTGAGAAGTTTGGCACCACATGGCTGGATTCTTTCTGCTCAGGGTCTCACAAAAACAGAGGCAAGGTATCAAAATGGCTTAACTCTTAATCCTCAGGATCTCGGGATTAATCCACTTTCAGTCTCATTCAGGTTGTTGGCCGAATTCATTTCTTTGACGTTGTAGGACTGAGGTCCCTGTTTCCTTGTTGAATATCTTCTTGAGGCTACTGTGTGCTCAAGGAGACTGCCAGCATTTTTTTTTTTTTCTTATGGTCATTTTCTGTTTTCAAACCAAAAAAGGCACCTGGCATGACTATCACTTTTGCTTTGAATTTCATTGACTCCCTCTCACCATATATCTCTGGCTTCCTTTCTTGTCTCCCTCTTCCAGATTTAAGGGCCCATGTAGTTACATTGTTCTACTCAGATAATCCAGGATAATTTCCCTATTTTAAAATAAACTGATTAGGAAATTTAGTT